TCCAGCTTCCTGACGGTGAGCTGGGCCTCGTCCCTCTCTGTGGCCAGGGCTGAGCGCACCTGCTTCTCCTCCTCCAGCTGCGCTATTTTCTGCCGGAGGAGGTTCATGTGGAGTTCTCTGCTCTCCAGTCTTTCTTTCTGAGTCTTTAGCTGGTTTGATACAAAGAGGGATTATTTATTTTTTTAATAATTGAAGAGTCAGTAAATATAAACGAATTAGAGATAATGTCAAATTTTATCTACACTTCAATAAGACTAATTTGTAAACCGTCAAAAAAAAAAAGGTCACTGGGTTCCTTTTCCTGATTGCATTTTTTTTATTCATATTTTTCCAAGAATGAATTTTGCAGCTGCAAAGTATGAGACAAAAGAGCCGCAGAAGATGTGCAAAGACTTCCCAGAGCTGCTTCTCTCCAACATTGTGTGCATCATAATAAAAATGTGAAATTACTTTAGAACTACTAAAACAGGCTTATCAAGAACAGAACACAAGACAGGGAGACAAAATCCTCTCCAACACACACACACGGACCATGACGCCTTCACTCGTGTTTTCTGAAACAACATAGGGTGCAAATTACTATTGTGAACCCGGACTGGTTGATTTCAGTCCCTCTTGGTGACAACTCATCCTTTAACAAGCACCCCGTATGAGAATGCAGATATTGCTAAAAGATGATAAAACAAGGAGGCTTTTTTTTTTTTTTGAAAGAAATCTTTGTTTACATATTGAAAATGTTAGAAGGTTTCATTTCTTTGGGGTCTTTTGTTATACGACTGGCTGATCAGATCAACCAACCACACAAAGAGCAAAGTCCTCAAACTGGCTTCTCAGTGGCAGTCAAACTTGATGAAGGAAATTGGACATTTTTTAGATGACCATGGATTCTCGAAGAGAGATCAGTAGAGGAAAGGGATGAGGTGGAGGGAAGAGGAAAGGAAAGGGGAAATACCCGGGAATAACATTACACTGCGGCTTGGTGTGCATGTGTGGACAGGTAACAAGGAATTCCACCACTGTGTACAGCTGTAACGGACCAATAAAAATATGGAGGAAAAAACAAAATGACTCTGGACCCGAAGACTGAAAAGACCTTCCAGGGTTCCACGTGTCACAACTAAAGGGTGCTACATTAAGTCCAGACACCTCAATCATTCTGCCACAGACGTCAGGAAGAATCACCGACAATCCCTCGTTATCTTCTCCACATTTACACGGTATTATAAGGTGGGGGACTTACTGAAATGCTGCTGCGTTCCTTGCCTCACAGTGACAACTGTGCCTATGCCTCCCAAGTCATTCTTGAACAAGACCCTCCCACTCCTTCTCTACCGGCTCCCTTTCTTGAGCATCTTCATGTCAAATCCCACTCTATGGCAAATTTACACTGGTAAACTCTACACCCTGACTGTTCTAACAGTTCTGTAATTCTTAGAAGGGATAATATTGGAATAAATAACAATAATATTTAAATAATATTTAAAAAGGAAATCAATTATCCAAGGACGACTTGGGAAACAATTGTTGTTGAGTTTAACATCCCTGTTGGCAATTTGGTTTGTCTACTCTCTTTTTTTTTATAAAATATTCCTCCAGCTATAATCTAAATGAAAGAAGACAAATATGAGCAGAGCATCTTCTATGAACCAAGAGTTCAAAGATGTTGTTTATTAAAGAATAGCAGTTCTATTAAGTACTATTCCTATCTTAATATGAGGAAACAGAGAGGTACACGATTTCCCAAGGTGACTCAGCTTGGTTGAGCCAAACTGCAAACCCAGATGTAATTCATTACCCAGCCTTTAGACTAAAATCTGACCATCAAATTTTCTCCTAAGAACAATAATAAGAACACATCTGTGTTTTCTTTTCCCAATACCATCAATTATGTAACTGATAATAATACTTATTTCTGTTCTTTCTTTCATTCACTCATTTTGTCTACACTGTTTCTAACTCTTCCTCAGAGTGAATGAGAAGTTGGTCCTTCTCTCTCTAATTTCTTGTGCAACAGAGCTTATAAATGCAGACACTGCTACATGCATCCCCCATTCTCCTCTTCTCCCAAAACAGTGGGAACTGAATTTTTTAAGGGAGGTGAATGGCTACCCACAGTTGAGGCTGCATTTGAAAGCCTCCGTGTCAGCTAGGTTTGGCCATCAGAACACATTCTGGCTGGGGATATAAGTGCAAGTTCATGTAGCAGATCCTGGGCCCCATCTTCAAAGGCACCTCTTGCATGTTCTATTGTAACCTTCTTATTCATCCCCTTCTTCTCCAATCTTCTGCATGGATCACAGGCATAATGGTGTGGGCACCATTTTGAACCTGAGGATAAGGACCACCCTAGTGATGGTATATTAATGAGCTGAGACGGGTCTGATTCCTTGAAGAATGGATAGAGCAGATCTGCCAGGACAGACAACCCCAAGCGGCCTATCTCCAGAAATGTATGTGAGAAAAGAAACTACCTCTGCTTGTTTAAGTCAATATCATTTAGGACTCCTTGGCATACCCAAAGGACTTAAAATCAGCACATAGTGGTGTGGCCACATCAATATTTATAGCAGCTCAATGCACAATAGCTAAGCTATGGAACCAACCTAGGTGACCTTCCACAAGCAAATGGATAAAGAAAATGTGGTACATATACACAATGGAATATTACTCAGCCTTAAAGAAGAATGAAATCATGTCAGTTGCTGGTGAAA